GGGCAAGGTCGGGGGGAGGCTGACAGGCCACTGGCCCCGCTCCAGGACCCGAAGCCTCCGGGGGACGGCGGGGTGGCCTTCCCCTCCCTGGCTGCAAGGGGCCTGGTGGCAGCTCGTGGCTGTGAGGTGGCGAAGCCCAGGGGAGGCCTGGTGGCTGCGGGGACCACCACGGGTGAAAATCCGGCCCCAGCTCTGCTCCCGCCGCGGCGGCCTGCTCAGAGGTCGCCTCCCGCGCCCCAGGTCCCTCGGTCCTGCAGCCCAACCCCCTCCTCGCGCGGCACCCCCGCCCTGCTTCCACCGCCCACCACCGTCCTGCGCACGCTCGCATTTTAACTTTGCTCCTGCGCCCCCGCCTGGGCGAGCCCTGAGGACACTGCGCTCGGTGGGACACCCCGGTCACGACAGGACACACACGGTGCGAGCCCGCTCGCAGGAGGTCCCAGAGGAGTGAGACCCCTAGAGACAGGGAGGAATTGGGGGGCCGGGCAGGGGGCTGCGGGAGGGCGTGGGAGTTAGTGCTTAATGGGCACAGAGGTGGGGACGGTTGCACAGCAATGCACTTAATGCCCCGGGAAGTGCTAAAAATGGAACATTGTATGCTATGCCTGTTTTACCACAGCTGAAGACGGAGCTCTGTCTTCCTCCCTGGGGGGCTGGGACTGTTCCGCCGCCTCCCCAGAGCGGGCACACAGGAGGGGGTCCATGACGGGCTGAGGGAATGAGAGGAGAGAGGCGACCTGCCCGCAGCGGGTGGAGAGACGGACGGGCCCAGAGGGGCAGCGAAAGGCGAAGCCTGAAGCAGCACCTGCTCCTCCTCCCTCAATCGTGCTTCCAAGCGTGGTCTCAGCGGAGGGGATTCTGCCCCCTCAGGGGGCATTTCACCGCATCTGGAGACATTTTTGGTTGTCACTGCTGGGTGGAAGGGAGGAGGGAGACGCTGCTGGTCACTGGCGAGCTGCTAAAGACCTGCAATGCCCAGGACGCCCCACAGCGAGGAGTCACCCAGCCCCAATGTCAACAGTGCGGAGAGAGAGGGACCGGCTTTAGGGACACCTACTGCCCCCCACATCCCCGCCTCTCCTGACAGCGGCAGGGGAGATGGAGCAGGTGCAGTGCGCCGCCCGGGACTGCGGCAGGATGCGGCTGGCGTCCGGGCGGCGCGGTCCCTTCCTCGCGCGGCACTGGGTGGCGGCCCTGTCCCAGGTGCTGAGGCTCTGAGTTGAGCGCGGGGCGGCGGGCGCGTTCGGGTCGAGCGGGGTCCGGGCTGGGGCGGCGGAGGGGACCCGCCTGGGGACCGCGCGCGCGCCTGGCAGGACCCCTGACCCGCGCCCGCTGAGTCAGGCTCCGCGACGGGCGGCGGGCGGGGCGCAGACCCAGCCGCAGGCACGCGGATCCCTAACCTGAAAGGAGACCCGGCTGCCTCCGATCGGGCCGGCCCGCCCGCCCAGCTTCCTCTTTTCCCCCTGCAGTGGGCGAGGGACGGGGGTTGGTGCGGCCGAGGGGAAGAGGGAGGGGCGGCCGCGTGACCGGAACCGCGCTGAGCTTCCAGCCCCGCAGCACCCTCCAGCGCGAAGGGGCGTGGGCGGGCCCGCGCGGCCGAGCGTGCAGCCGGACAGAGCCGCGCCCGACCTGCGCGCCGCCGGCCGCAGGACCTGCTCCCACTCTTTCTCGCCCGCTCTTCTGCGTCCTCGTCGCTGGGACGGCCCCACTTGTCCGTCCAGGCGCTCGCGGAGACCGGGCATTTTCCACAGCACCTCCCGCGTGGCCACCCCCACATCGCGCCCCTAACCAAGGCCGGTCTCTCTCCCAACCAGGCAGCCTCGCCGCATCCCGCAGCCGCCGCTCTGGGCTCTCTGCTGCGGCCCTGGCCGGGTGACAGCCCCCCACCGCGTCTCCATCGCTGCCAGGCCCTCCAAAAACAGCCCTCCCTACGTTCCCTTTCCTACATGGCCCCGTGACAGCTCCCCAGGGCCCTCAGGCCCAGTGCTGTCCTCGTTCCACCCAGCCACCCCCAGAGTCCTCTCTGATGCCCACCTAACAACTCTCTCTCCTCCGGAAAGCGGTCATTCTCTGTCGCTTGGCTCATCCTGCACTGGGTCCAAGCCCCCGCAATGAGCACAGGTCAAGGTTCAGAGAGACATCTGGGGGGACAGCAGGAGTAGCCCCAGCCCGCAGAGTCATTCAGTCTGCACACTGGTAGGGAAGGCTGGGCATCCCATCTGGGGACACGGTGTGATGTGATGCCCAAGGCAGCCTTGTCCCTATTGTCCTGGAGGGTACGTTCCAGGGGACAGTCCCGCCAGGCCCCTCCCAGCTCACAGGCGGCCCAGCTCAGATCTGGCTGGGACTGGGCACAGGTGGGTGTCTCCAGAGTGAGAGCCAGGGTGTCCAGCCTGCTGTGAGAATGTGGCCCATCCAGGAGTGGAGGTGCTGGCACCGGGCAGTCCCCAACTCAGAGTTAAGGGGACAGAGTTAAGGACCAGGGGACATGGTACAGGGAGAAAGAGTAGGATGGCCAAGTGTCAAGGAGTCCCTGCAAGTCCAAGGCGAGGGGGCCGGGTGGTTAGGGCTCTGCCCAGTCTCCCGTCGCCCGAGCTCCAGTCTTGCCTCTGCCGCTTAGGGACCGCGTGGCCTTGGGCAGTGCTGCTCTGAGCGCCACATCCTCCATCTGCGAGGCCGCATTGACAACAGAGGCTTCCACGTCCTCGGGCGATTATAAACATTAAATGTGCGACTGCACCTGAGATGCTGAGAAGTGTGCCTAGGACACGCTGCCCCTAAATCAGACTGTACAACACAGCTGCCAACACCTGAGCACAATTTCATCGTGTTAGCTCATGTGTCTTTCTTTTTCTCTCTCCCGCCCTCTCCCTCTCTCTCCTGCCTTTTCCTGCCCAGTCACTTTGGTTCAAATCCCCACTCTACCGCTGACCTCCTTCAGCAGTTTGGAGCAGTTTGGGAACATGGGTTGGTGTCTCACAACCTGTTGCTCCCCTGAGACCCGCAGACAACAATAGCACGGACTTCACCGGGCTTTGGGCCCATGAGGTGAAGCCAAGCGCGTAATCCACTTCCCTGGGGCGAGCCCATAATTAGCCTGTGAAAGCAGCAGCAGGAAGGCTCTGCCCTCGCAGAGAAAGGGCACCTCCGGGGCCGCAGCAGCCGCAGCCTCTGCGGCCAGAACAGCGCTCGCACGGGACTCATGTGAGTGAGTGTGAGTGTGCGGTGCTTGCCACGTGCAAGTGTATGGCTGCATGTGAGTGCCGCTGAGTGTGTGCCTGGGAGCGTGCGTGAGTGTGAGCCCTGCGCGCGGTGCGTCGGGCCGGTGGTGGGAAGTGGGCGTGGGTTTGCTGGAAGAAACGAGCTCTGGGCTGAAGCCCGAGGGCTGAGGAGGAGGAGGTCTGCAGGAGAAGCAAGCAGGGGCGGTGGGCGTCGGGTGTCAGGGACACCCTCTCCAGGTGTGCAAGGACTTGGCGGGCAAAGCGGCAGCCAGCCGAGGAGTTCGTTGCATGCCCTGGGGGCTGATGGTGCGGGGCCCTGGGGGGCCGCAGAAGGCTGCACGCAGAGGCAGGAGCTCTCAGGTTAGAAGAGTGGCCTGGCTTCTGGGCCCTGCCCCGCCGCCATGTACCAGCAGACACCTGCCAGGAGGCCATGTGCCTCGGTGGTTGAGCAGAAAAGCTCCAAGGTCACAGGTCCTGGGTTCAGGCCCTGGGAGGTCAGCAAATGCCTCACCCGGGCAGGACCTCAGCTCACCCAGTGCCCGAGTGCCGGCTGCACAGCGGCACTTCCCGCACCACAGTGCTGTGCCCAGTGGAGTCAGCCCTGTCACCCCCAGGGCACAGAAACCTGCTGAGTCGCTCACCTCGGTGGGAGCCTGGAGCAGCGCGGGTCTGGCCAGCCACAGCGTGGTGACACTTGGGCCTCCTCAGGATGGCCGGACGCTTGGTTCGAGCTGCCAGCGATCAGAGCCTGGCAGCCCCACATCTCCCCTCCCCGAAGGCCCAGGCCCAGCAGGAGGGGCAGCCAGTGACCCCCAGGCTCATCCAACCCAAAGTCCACGCTCTTCAGTATGGGTTAAGTGCTTTAAGGTCAAGCGACTTTAAAGATGTCTCAGAAGTTTGGCAGGAGAGGTCACTGAGGCATGGTGGTGGGGTCTCTGCATTTCCTGGCGGGGCCTGGCACCAAGCAGATGCCTGGAAAAGGGTTAGTGTCTGAAGACCCACTGTATCCAGTCCTGTGCTGAGGGCCTCATGTACAGTGACACCTCACGTGACCCTGGCCCTCGGGAGCTGGGTCCTTGCTCAGCCCCCATTTCAGTGGGGAAAACCTGAGGCTCCGGAAGGTTGAGTTCCGGGCGGAGGCTTCCCAGGTAGCGAGACTAACAAGAGCTGAGGGCATTCAGGGGCTTACTATGTGCCAGGCCTTGTTCAAAGCACATCAGCCAGTCACGTGGAACCAACCACCACCCTACAGTATTGGTGTTATTAATATGATCATTTTATTTTTTTTGAAAGAGTGAAACATCGATTTGTTGTTCCACTTATCTGTGCATTCATTGGTTGCTTCTTGTATGTGCCCTGACCAGGGATCAAACCTGCCACCGTGGCGTACTGGACGATGCTCCAACCCACTGAGCTACCTGGCCAGGGTTTTATGTCACCATTTTATAAATGAGGAAATCGGTTTCGAGGTTCAGCCACTTACCCGAATCCCATGGGCGCACACTTAGTGAGCGCCTGCTGAGTCCCTCGCATGGGATGGGCTCTGGGGCACTCAGCTCTGGTCTTACCCCTCGACCCTGCACGCCAGCTGCACCTCCCCGCCCACTGCAGCACCGACCGCCAGCTGTGAGCTGAGCGCAGCCAGCTCCTGCTCACTGTGCCTCTTGACCTTCCAGTAGTAAGACGCAGACCCGGCCAGAGCTGGGGCGCCACTGCCCCGTGGACCACCCTGACAGGCGGTGAGCCCCCCATCCCTGGGAGGATCCAGTCAGGGCTGCCATGGAAGAAAGCGCCTACTCAGGTGAGAGGACTCTCTGGAGCTGACCCTGACCTCCTGCCCCCCCCCCAGGAGAGGAGAGGGCTGGCGGGTCCTCTCTGGGGAGAAGTGAAAGTCTAGGAAAGACCCGCCCTGTGGGGGCAGATGAGCCCCACGTGGCCCCCCTGGCCCAGAGCCAGGCAGAAAGGGAAGCCCCGGGCACCTCCCCCTTCTGATTCACACTCCGGAAACAAGAACAAAGCAGTCCCCGAGGACCTGGGGACCAAGCGGAGGGGACCGGGAGCAAGTGAGTTTCCCCAGGATGAGTCCTCACAGCCAGGATGAGGGGAGGGGGCCTGGACCTGCAGTGGAGCATCAAGGTAGAGTTTGGGGGGCGGGACCTGGGGTGAGGCCTGGGGTTGGGGACAGGCTCGGATACGGGGAAGAACGGAGGCCCTGCGTCCTGTGTTTAGGGAAGGGGCTCCAGTGGGAGACAGGCATCAGGTCAGGGCTGGGGTCCCAGGGGAAGCAGGCCCAGTCCCCTGCAGGTGAGGCTGGGGGCCCGTCCTTCATGGTGGGGGCAGCTGAGCCTGCAGGCCGGACCAGGGCCGCAGGTGAGCACTGGGGGAGGGGGGCAGCACACCAGGAGGGGCACAGGGAAGCGGGGTCTCAGGCCTGGCCCTGGGCACATCTCTCCGGACAGTGACCTCGCCCGGAGTCAGGCCTGCAGACAGCAGGCGTTGCGACAGAAGGAGCGGCAGACATTGGGCTGGGTGGGTGGAGGGACGGACTCAGAGACGCACAGATGCAGAAACGGACACAAAAGATAGAGTGAGGGAGGGGGTACAGAGGAAGCCGGGGGTCCACAGAGACCGGCTGCTTCCGGGCGGGCTCCCAGGCCTGCGGGCTCTGGGCGACAGGGAAGAGCAGAGCTGGGCCCAGCCTTCCCGCGTGCCCCTCATCGCCACCCCGCCCCCGGCAGACGTTCTGAACCTGCGCAGGAGGCAGCGGCGCTGCAGGCCGGGGACGCTGATCGCGCTGCTGGGGCTGGTGTTGTTGGCGCTGTGGGCAGGGCTGCTGACCCTGCTTCTCCTGTGGCGTGAGGACACCCCCAGCCCCGTGCGGCCCACCTCCCCTGTTCCCTCCCGGACCCCGCCTCTACGATCCCGGGGAGCCCAGCGCCGCCCTCGGGGCCGGATTCCCCCACCCCGTCTCCTCCTCCGCTCTCAAGAGCCCCCACTCCCACTCAGCACCCCGCCTCCCGCCGTGGGCACCTCTCACATGGCACACCCAAGGCCTCCGTCCCCAGCTGGGGGGAGGGTGGTGTGGGCGGGGGCATATGAGAAGCCCTCCCTCTCCTCTCCTCTCCTCCTGCCCAGACTGGAACACTGAACGGGATCTGAAACAGCTGGGAGACACCACTGCCCTGAACAGTATGGAGGGGCCAGGGTTGGGGGGGCTTGGACACCAGGTTCTTGTCCTGCTTCTGCCACTGACCACTGTCAGATGTGGGGGAGGAACTGAGGGTCAGCCTGAGTCCCCCCCCCCATGCAGGGGTAACTCAGTGGCTCGTGACCAAGAGGCTCTGAGGAGCACCCCATGGAGTGTGGCGAGGCTGCGCTGGCCTCTGCTGGGTCACCTGTAAAGTGGGCATTGTCTCAGAGCTCTGAGGGGGAGCGGCTAAGACTGTGAAGCTCTTAGCAGGCACCTGGCATCCAGTGAGCTTTCAGTAAATGCCTCCCGCTTCTGTAGTTAATTCTGGGAGGGGCAAGGTACACAAATTCATTCTGTGGCCTGCACTTTCCCAAGTGCTTTTGCCACCAAGGCAAGAAACAAAAAGCTGTAGTCATTGTGACTGTGTGAGGGGGTCCCTGAACTTGGTGTTGTGGGAGGGGTGGGGGATTCGAGGACCTGCCTGCCTGGCTCCTGAAGACACACCTTCCCTCTCCTTCCCCTAGTCTCTCAGGTTTCCAAACACTTGGAAAGACACAAGGGTGACCAGATGGCCCAGAAATCCCAGGGTGAGTGATTTCTGCTGTGGGTCTGGGAAAAAGAGAGGAAAGGGACTTGGATGCCATGTGGGTATAGTGTCCAGACCCCCTGAGAACTGCAAAATGAAGCAGGTGGCCCTGATGCGCCATGCTCAGAGCCAAGGGGGCCACTGGGCAGACGTGCTTACCGCTGAGCCCCTTCCCCTCAACCAGCCTCCCAGGTGCTGCAGACCATGGAGGAAATCCAAGCAGAACAGAAGAGAATGAAAACTCAGGGTGAGAGACTGGGATGGGGGTGGGGTCCCAGAGCCACGGGGACCTCGGGACCCACAGGCATCCCTCCTGACACCCGCCCTGCCCCCCGTCAGACTCGGAGCTCTCCCAGGACCTGGACGGACTTCGAGAGGCCCTGAGCAACCTCAAGTCCCAGGGTGAGGCTTGGGAGGGTCTGCGGGCAGGGAAGGGCGCAGAGGGGCCACGTGCTCGCCTGTGATCACCACCCGCATTCAACCCCCCAAGGCTTGAATGAGAGACGTGCAGCCTTGACTTCGCTGGAAAGGCTCCAGGAGGAGGTGTCAAAGCTATGGATGGAGCTTCGCGTGTCCAACGGTGAGTGTGTGCGTCTGTGCCCACAGGTGTGCTGGTGTGTGCATGTCACAGCACAGTGTGTGTCCGAATGTGAAGGATAGTTGTGTGTGCATGACAGCGTGGAGGGCTGTGTGTGTGAGGGTAGCAGGGCCAACGGGGGGCACACGAGAAAGCCCCTGTGAGGCCAGCTGCTCCCCTCTACTGCCCGGGGGCCGGGGCCCCACGTGTGTGCTCCAGGTGAAAGCAGCCCTGTGTTTGCCGCCTCCGGGGCCTGTGCTGGTCTGGCCTGCCTGCCATGGCTCAGCAGAGGGCCAACACTAGCATGCCCATGGCCACAGCCCCCAGAAGACTGCCTGACGCCCCCAGAGGGCTGTGGGGTCCCTCGGCGGCAGTGGAGACGCGGGGCGCCATGGCCTCTTCTCCCTGGTGGCCGTGACGGGGCAGCGCTGGTGGGCACACAGCTCATGGAGGCGGCCCCCGCAGGCCAGCAGGGAGGGCAGACGTCCAGTCATTGTGCCTTTAACCTGAACTCCCACTCGCCCCACGTTTTTGGCCTCCCAGCCCTGGGAAGCCCCAGCTGCCCAGTTGGGTGAAAAAAGAGGAAGGCTCCGTGCCGGGTGAGGGAGCGCGGCCCCCGGGGGCATGGCCTGGCTGTGGGGATCCCAGCAGGGGCCGCCTGCTGGACTGGGGGGCGCGGCAAGGGACCCGGGCCAGTGAACTCTGAAGGGTCACCTATGATGGGTCCCCAGCTCCAGGACTGTTTCTCCATGACCCACGACACACAGCCATGCCACCTTCCCCAAGGCGGCACCTGCAGAGGCCTGCGCGCTGGTCACTGCTCACGAGAGAGCGGCACATCCAGCTCTGGTCCGCCCAGGGCTTCTGCCCTCCTGTGGGCTCAGGCCCCTCGCACAGTTCCCCCCAAGGTCACTCTAAGAAAGTCTATTTTAAGTCATGAGTGAGCGGACCCAGTGGCAGCGGGCTCAACTCCTACGAGGGAGCGCCGGGGGACAGGGGCAGTGCCTGTGAGCTTCCTTGGGGTGGGACCAATGGGAGGGAGACCGAGGGGGCTCGGGGTCAAGGTCATGGGGACCCCACCCTCCAGACCCCTCCTCACCTCTCACAGCCTCTCCTGGCCAATGAGAAGAAAATCAAGTCAATACCCCCTAAAGCAAAGCGGTCACATGTGCTGGTGTGGGGGTGCTGGCGGGACGGGGTGCGGGGACAGCGCAGGGTAAAGGAGCGCTGGCACCCCTGCCCTCGGCGGCGCTTCCGCCTCGTGGCTAAGATGTGGCTGGTGCGGTGCCGGTGCTGGATGGATGTTGCTGGGAGTTGTCGGTGACGATGATGCTGGTGATGAAGTTGTTGCTGAGTGTGGCAGAGCCTGGGGACACAGGGCTGGCCGTTGAGAGGCTGCTGATGCCGGAGGCTGATGTGGTAATGGTGCCGACGGTCAAGTGCTCCTAACCGCGGACATGCTCATGGGGAGGACGCGGGCGGTGGAGGTGCTGCTGAGCGTTGTGCCGGAGACGGGGTGATGGCGCAGGCGACGGAAGTGCTGCTGCCACAGAGGCACTCACGGTGGTGTCACTGGCGGCTGAGTGCTGGTGGCCGAGAGGTGCTTGGGCACTGTGCATGGCTGCCGCTCTGCCCGCCGTGCAGGCCCTTCGCAGCGGCGCCCCGCGCTCAGCCCCGGAGCCCCAGGGAGGAAGTGCCTGCGAGAGTCCTGTTAGGCTCTGGGGGGGGGTCTGCTTTCAGCCCGGGACCCAAGAGTGACTCCAGGAGAGATGCTGCCGCCCACTGTGCCCCCGGTGCCCACCGTGATGTCCACCACTGCGCCCACCACAGCCCCAGCCCCGGCGCCCGCCCTGGCGCCCGCCACAGCCCCAGCCCCGGCGCCCGCCCTGGCGTCCGCCACGGCCCCAGCCATGGTGCCCGCTCTGGCGTCCGCCACGGCCCCAGCCCCGACGCCCGCCCTGGCGTCCGCCACGGCCCCAGCCCTGGCGCCCGCCCTGGCGTCTGCCACGGCCCCAGCCATGGTGCCTGCTCTGGCGTCCGCCACAGTTGTCCCCCTGAGCCTCTCCTCCACTCCAGGCTCCATGTGTGACATGTGCCCTGAGAGGTGGGTCAGTTTCCAACGGAAGTGCTACTACTTCGGGGAGGGTGCCAAGAAGTGGATCCAGGCGCGGTTCGCCTGCAGCAAACTCCAAGGGCGGCTGGTCAGCATCCACAGCCAGGAGGAGCAGGTGGGCCTGGGCTCTGCAGAGGGTGCGGCCAGCAAGGTGGCCAGGGGGGGAGGTGGAGCCCCAACACAGCCTCTCGGATGGCAGAGGGACCCACGCACATTCCCCAGCCCTCCAGCCCTGCTCTGCTCCTCAGGACTTCCTGGCCAAACACGTCAACAAGAAGGGCTCCTGGATCGGCCTTCGGGATCTGAACATAGAGGGGGAGTTTGTCTGGATGGACGGGAGCCCCCTGGAGTACAGGTGAGCGGTGGGATGGGGGTGGGTGACGAGCAGATGGCTCCAGGCCCAGGCCGGGAGGGGGGCCGCTCTGTGATCAGGACACGGCGCGTGGGGGATGTGTCCCAGGCCTGGAGGCGGGGCCGTTTCTGGGTTGTAGTGGCAGGATATGGTCAAGGTGCGGAGGGAGGCCTGGGCTGGGGCCGGGGAAGGCTGGGGGTCACGGAGATGGGGGGACCTGAGCAGAGGGGCACGTCTAGGCTGAAGGCAGTGCGCCCCCGCCCCCGCCCATGGTGACCCAAAGACTCCCATTCCAGCAACTGGCGCCCAGGGGAGCCTAACAACGGGGGCCAGGGCGAGGACTGCGTGATGATGCTGGGCTCGGGGCAGTGGAACGACGCCTTCTGCAGCAGCCCCCTGGGGGGCTGGGTGTGCGACCGGCTGGCCACGTGCTGACTGCCCCTCCCGCCTCGGTCCCCCAGACACAGGCCCTGACAGCCCCCGACCTGCCCTCCAGATGCTCCCTCTTTGGGATCCCCCGCCTCGAACACGGGACCAGTCAGCCCAGAGTGGGTTGCCGAGGCCCCCAACCAAGGCCTGGGTGCCTCTTCTATGGCCGAATGGTCCCGGTGACATTTTCTCCTGCCCAGAGGACGGCAGCTGACCCATCCCTGGCTCCTGTCAACTCCCCAGAGGGCCTGTCCCTTTCCCCTCAGCCCAAATAGCTGTCACCGCCTCCTTGTTTCCAAGTGCTCAGAGTTCCTCAAGAACCCCACCGTCAGCCTGGATGGAGGCTGGGAGCTCCTGCCAAGGGCAGGGGGCCCAGCCGCCCAGCTCTGCAGGGAGCTCGGAGGCCAGCGCAGACCCTGTGTGTCTCCTCCATGACCCCTGCCCCACTGTCAGCAGGGGTTGGGAGCAGCCCTGGCCCTTGTCCTCCCCAGATGCCGCCCCTGCCCTGGCACCACAGCCCAACAGCCAGGCCGCCCCGCCCCACCTGCAGCGCGCGCCCTCCTGGGGGGGGCCTCACTAGCCCTGGCCTCCCAGTGTGGAGGGTGGGACTTCCCGGAGGCTGCTGCCTGAGGCCGCCTCGCAGCCCCGGAACAACTGAAGTGGCATTTGGACCCCCCCTTCCCCCGTTTCATTACAAGGAGCATGTAGGCAGAGCTGGAGATGAAGCCCTGGGCTCCCGCAGAGCGCCAGGCCCGCGAGCCCCCGGGGTTGCCGCAGCGGGAAGCAGCACCCGCCCTCAGCCTGACTCCCCTCCCGGCCGGCAGGGAAAGAGCCCGCGCAGGCACAGGGCCCAGGGCCCAGAAGGCGCTCACAAAGCGCTGGCTGGCTGAAGGGCGGCGGCTCCTCAGGCCTCCCCCTGGGGAGCCCACGGCCCAGCCCCACGGCCCCCGCCACCGGCCCCTCAGGCCAGCACTGGGATCCGCCTCGCCACCTCCGCCCCTCGCTGCCCCTCCAAGCCCACAGGAGAGCCGTGGGCTCTGCCACAAGCCATGGTCCAAATCCGCCCCCCAGTGCAGCCCACCCTCGCTCCCCTGAACCGGTGAGGCCTCCCTCGCACCGTACCAAGCCTTTCAGAGTGTCCTTCGCCATTACCGAATGCGCCCCCTGACACCCCAGCTCCCTCTCCTCCCTCCTCGCACACTCGGGCTCACGCCAGCCTCGGCGCCTCTGCCCGTGCAGCCCCCCGCTCAGCAAGGCCTGTCCGGAGCACCCCCTCGCTTCAAATGACACTCCAGCTCTGGCTTTCTGCCCCACTGCGTGCTCTCACCCCAGCGCTCCTTCAGCAAACGTTGGACTCACTGATCAGGCGCGGCCCATCTCTGCTGGCTAGAGCGCGGCTTCAGGGCAGGTGCCTTGTTTTGTTCTGTGTGTCCCCAACACCTGGCATAGTAGTCACTCAATAAATGTCAAATTACCTAATGCGTGACCATGCGTATATGACCTCTTCAGGAAGCTGCTTTGGGGCCTGTGAAGTAAGGAGGTGCTGCCTGCCTGAGTCTCCAAAGGGCTGGGGCCCGGCGCCTCCTCCTCGCCCCATTCCCTCCGCCTGGGGCCTCTAACTCCGAGCCGCTGTGATGGGAGCCAAAGCTGCCTGATCTCTCCCTGCCGTCTCTTGCCCCAAATGGGTGCCCAGCCCCACGTCTTACAGCTTGTTCCAAGCCTGCCCCTTCTCCACATGTCCCTGCTTATCCTCAGCCAGGAGAGAGACGCTGGGACCTCCCCCACCCCGGTTTACAAGGTCTCCTGCATCCCCTCCCTTGGGGACCAGCCCGCCCCTCCGTTTCTCTTGGGCACCCTTCACCGCCAGGCCTGCAGGGATGGCTCTCATTCTTGCCTCCTGCCTCTCCTACGATCTGGCCCCCAGCCTCCCAGCAGCCCCTAGAAGCCGCTCCTACCAGGGTCTCTGAGGACCTCGGGCGCTAAATTTGAAGGTAACCCCTGCAGTTCCCTCCAAAATCGGGCTCCCACCACACACTCTGGCTCTCCTTCTTCTGGCCTGCGGCTTCCATCCCTGTCCAACCCCCAGAGCTCTTTTGGACACCAGGCTGCTACCCTGCCCACCCCTTTCCCAGCTCCCTTGAGCCCTCCCCTCCCCCAGCCAACAGTTATTTTTTTGACCATGCTCATGCCAGACACCCGGAGTGCCAAGGAGTTGCACTTGTCCTGTGGACATGTGCTACCTTCTTCGCCAAGCCGACCCGCCTCATCGCCTCTCGCTGGACTGGGGCTGCCCCTCCGACCAGGCCAGAGCCCCAGGGCTCCCCTCTCGTGCCGCCCTGTGCAGTGAGCACTGCAACAGCACAGCGAAAAGCTGCGCCCATGCCGCCCTCACAGCCTCTGTAAGCAGCGAGGAGGGCCCTGCAGGATGCACCTGAGGTTCCCTTTCAGAATGGCCTTGGTCAGGTCCTGCGGAGGCCAGGGGACAGGGAAAGCCGGGACAAGTTTCCCCAGCAGTGGCAGGGTTTACAGGGGGGGCGGGGTGATCAGGGTCCCGGGCTGGTGGGCAAAAGGGGGAGGGACGCCTGAGGTGTAGTATTTTTTAAACACGGGACATGTGTCTGTGTATCAACCGTGTATTTAGAAATTAACTTCAAACTATTTTAAGCATCCAGATGATTCTGAAGCGAGCCCACCCACTTCCTCAGGAGCCAGGTGTCTCAGGCCACAGTTCTCGAAGGCCAGCATCTGGTGCCCCGGCAGTTCCTGGGAACTTGTTAGGCAAATCTTCTGGCCCCCCCAAATCTGCAGCATCTGAACCTCAGGAGGGGGTGGTGGTGGCACCCAGTCACTCAAGTTTTAATGTTCTGCGCCCTAGCAAACTGCGGTACATAGGAACCCTCTAGGGTCTTGCTAAAACGCAGCCTCTGAGTCCTTAGGTCTGCAGTGGGCCTGAGAGTTTACCTTACCCACAAACTCCCCAGGACAATGCTGGTCCCTGGACCACGCTCTGAGTAGCAAGCCTAAAGCAGTGGTCAGCCTGTTTTCTAGGGACACAACCACACCCAATCCTTGACCTACTGCTGGCATGAACTATTCACCTAGTCCTAGTGCAGAAAGTGTGCTAACCCCTGGTCTAAAGGAGTCTCTCCTAGTCTGGTCCCTCCCCCGCCCCCTCACCTCTCCATCCTATAGTCAGCCCCCAACTGTGACTCCAGAAGCCGCCAGCATCTCCCCTTTCCAGCAGCTCCTTCTGCCTGGTCTATCCCACCTGCCCCTGGACTCCCCCAACCCAATCTGAAAGCTGAAGCTAGGTCTAAGCAGGCCCTCCCCATGGAATAAACAGCCTGGACCTTGGCCTCCCTCACCAGCTTGGGGCAGGGATCGGGGTCATGTTGGGTGGATCTCTGAGGCTCCCACACAAGACACAAGACACACTTGGGAAGGGGGAATCTCTCATCCTTTATCTTCAGTGGGGTCAACGGCCCTCAAGGGCTCGGTCTCGGCTGATGACGGCCTCCTCGAACTTGATCATGAGTGTGGTGCCCTTGTGCCAATGTGCTGTGACCTTGGCCGGGAAGCCGCTGTGTGTGAGCACCGCTTCCACAATGCCTGCCGTAAAGCTGGCGCAGTTGAGCGTGCTGTTTTCCTTGGGCACCGATATGTATGTGTTTATGAGCGGTTCCCGCTCGATGATGTAGAAGGTACGGGCGTCGTCGTTGGCCTGCTCCAGCTTGTCGGCCTCCTTGCCGAAAAGTGCCTTCCACACCGCGCCCTTGACAAAAAGCAGGGCGCCCAGCACCTTGGTCTCCCGTCGGGCACCCTTTTCACGAGCCACCAGCGCATCTAGGACACGCGCACCCACCTGGCGGCCCAGCGCGGCCAGGCGTGCCTGCAGCTCGGCCACGGAGAAGACACGGCTCTGGCAGTGCTGTACCAGTTCGGAGAAGAGCAGTGCGAAGGCGCTCAGGCTCACCTCGGTGCGCGGCCGTGCCAGCGTGCGCTCCAGCAGCGCCGACTTCCCGCGTGTAAAGCGTGCCTCCATGCTGCTGCCGCCCTGCCTGCGGGGAGACCAGGCAACGCCAGTGTTAGGGGACAGAGAAGGAGCCCTGGGACCCTCCACCTACCCCATGTGCTCTATCGCTCACTTCCCACGTGGGAAGAGATGAGTGGAAGGAAAAGGGCATTCACCTGTGCACGAATCTCGCCACAACTACGCCTAGCCAATGAAGGACAAAGGGAGTCGGGAAAGGGCTTGGGGGATAAGGTGGGAGGAGGGTGAAGAATGAGATCTCAACGGGGCGGGGAAACCCCAACCCCAAGGTGATTGCTGGGGCAAGAAAAGGGCCTTTGTGCCCCCTCTGCCACCTGCTGCAGCAACTAGAAAACTAGTGCATGGAGGTGGGGATGTCAAACCTAGGGTCCGCAGAGGCCAAGGAAGGATGGGGGGCCATGAGAGGGCTCTGGCGTGGCCCCAGCACTGAGTTCCTGCGGGTGAAGCTAATGTCCCTGCCTCTCCCCAGTGGAAAGCCAGAAACACTGAAGGTGGGATTAGGGGGGGTGTGTAGAGACCAACGGCCAGGACTGAAAGCTTGGGGAACAAACGAAATACACAGGGCAAACAAGCAAGGGACACTGGGAACCCTTCCAACCCTGGGCGGGGCAGCACCAACTTGTCATGCACGAAGCGCACCTCCTTGGGGACAAGGATGGACCTACATTTGTAAGAAAGATTGGGTAGGGACAGGGGAAGATTGGGAGCCCCCTACCCCTGTGCTCTCCAGAAAGGTGGCTGGACAAGAGGGAAGGGACTGACCGTGAGATCTGGGGTTTACGGGAGCCAGGAGGGGGCGCTGTGATCTTCCATCCCTGCGCGGAAGGGGGCTGTAGAAGAAAACCCCAAGGGGAAGCTGAGAACTCCACATTGTGGCTCTGCGGTGGGGGTGGCAGTGAGTGCGGGGAATCCCAAGAGCGCTGAGACACACTCTCTTCCCCTCCACCCTCGCCCACTCAGGTGTGAAGCTGCCGCCCAGGGTGGGATCCGGAGAGGGAGATGAGCACCACCAGGCAGGACGGGGCCAGAGGCCGGAGAGGTCTGGGGATGTTGGTACGGCCCCCAAGATGTCTGCGTCGGGGATGGAAAGAGCAGTGGGGTACCAGGGCTCCAGGACGCCCCCGTCCGGGTGAGTGGCTGCCTACATGGGGAGGGCCCAGGGCGCGAGACGGGAGAGGCTGTGTTGAGACGCAGCCTCTATTGGCCTGCGATGGGGAGTAGTGAGCCGAACCGCGGAAAGGCCGGGACCCCAAGATCCTGAGCGCAGAGCGGGCAGAGGGACGGAGGAGTCGTCCACCCTCCCTGCTTCCCTCTGGGTGGACCAGAGCGGGCGGTCCGGGGTCGCTGAGGTCGAGACCCCAGCCCAGGAACCACAGGTCCGCGGGGAGGGGCCGGGAGAGGCCGAGGCCCGGGGTGAGCAGGGGGCGCGGGCGGGCAAAGTCTCACCGGGAACTGCGGCCCTCAACTCGGCGGAGCTGCTTTACGACGCCGCCGTAAAAGGCCCTACGTGCGCAGGCGCTGCGGAGGGCAGCGGTGGGGGCGGGGCCCGCGTGTTGTGATTCCGAGACCCGCCGCTCGGGGGCACGCGTGTCAGGAACGCGACCCAGGACGGCGGACCAGCAACCTGGGCCTTCCCGGGCCTTGGTTGGGCCGTGCTCAGGACAGCAGCATGGATGGTCACATGCTCGGGGCACATGTTTGACGATGGGCACGCGTCTCTGTCTCAGAGGCACATGGGCGCACTTATACATCTCAGGCCACAAACTCTCATGGGTGCAAACTCAAGAGCGTAGAGACTCAATTACTCCCTGGCACAGCACGCAGTCAGGACATGGTTCTGACACACGCTCGTGTCCCCAGCGTTCCTGGTATAACGTCCACCTGTTTACTGTGTTGCTTTCCCCATTCCCCAAGTCCAAACACTTGCAGACCCTCCCCAAGGCCCCTCCCCCCCCCGCCCCACCTCCGTCGCCCCAGTAGCAGATCTGAACATCACGTGGTTTTCCCTTGGCCTTTATTTTCATCTATCACAAAATGCAAGTGCAGAATCAAACAGGCACACATATGTACATGCTCTGAACACCTTCGGTGACATAATCAGGCACACACCGACACAACTGTTCACGTAGGCACAGGGGGTGACAGGGCACACACCACGACACCTACAATTACAAAGATACGTTCCCATGGTATGCTCCACACACATCAGCCATGACGGGCTTCAACACAACATACTGCAGGACCGTCATGTATATTCACAGTGAGAGTGAAACATGCATGGGTAACACACGTCACCAGCACCCCACTCACTGTGACACACTTCTGTGGTCCCCGTGGCCCCAGCCACCCACTGTGACATGCATGACACTACACACTGCAGTACAGATGTGTGTCACATGGGCAGTGACACAGGTGTGCACACCACACTGTGACGCCTACACTCAACATTCACCCAATACACATGAAATCCCCACCCTCCATGAAAGGTTTACTCCCCCCCACACACACACATGCACACAAGCAACTCTGCAGTATTCATTCAGCACCATGTGATTTTCTATATGTGGGCAGGAGGAACAGGGTCAGAGCAGGCTGGGGGCCCCATGTTTCATCTTTACTGGGAGGTACCCCCGTCCTCCAGGCTGCAGCAAGGGCTTCCATGTCTTCTCACTTACTGAGGTTTGGACTCTGTGGAGGAGGAAGGTGGAGATTGGAGACCAGGCAGACCCTCCTGGGAGAGAGGCTAGGGTCAAAGCCAGGGCTCCAAACTCCCCTGGCCCCAGCTTACACGGATTTGGCATTTTCTGCAGCATTTGGGAGATTTTCTGTAACTCACTCTTGATTTGGTTTATGCCTGGGGGGAGGGGAGGAGAAAGCTGGGGTGGGGCCTCAGACAAGGCCCCCACCTTTATTGGAAGGCCCCTCTTTGCCCAAACACCGAGGCTGGGGTGCTGCAGAACACAGCACTTAAATATCCCCCGAGTCACTGGACGGTGACATCGACCGCCCCTCCACACTCTGCCCTCTGGGAGGACGGGACCTCCGGGGGCCCCTCAGGTTCCCCAGCGCCGCAGCCGCGCGGTGGAGAGCCCGACACGCACCTGCTGACAGCGCCTTCAGCCTCTCGTTCCCGGCCTGGACGTCGCTCTGGACCCTGCGAAGGCCCTCTTTGGCTTCCGTGGCTGTCTGATGGGCCCTGCGCCAGCCCTGCTTTTGCTCTCCTTGGCACTCGTGCACTGAGACGGAGACTGAGGGCGGGGTGGAGGCGCCTGTGTCGCTGCTGCTCTCTCTGCCCCGCCCGGGCCCCTCGGCCTCCCCCCGGCCCTCCACTCACCATTCCAGAGCTCCCTTTTCAAGACCAGCAGCTCCTGGGACATCACAGAATCTGTTCAGGATGGCAGATAGGAAAACCCTTCAAGTGCCCCAGTTCTGCGGCCCTGGCAGCAGGGCTGGGGGAAGGGAGAGGAACAAGGGGAAAGGGGAACTGTGGGGACACTGGGCCTCCCCTGCTCCCGAGGACCCCTCCTTCCTGCCCCAGACCCCGTCCCCCCCCACAAAACTGAAAGCCCACTCACTGTTCACCAGGACCCAGGCCAACAGAATGATGGAAAGCAGGGCGAGAAGAATGTACAGGCTCATGACGGCTGTGTGCAACCAGGGCGGGGCCCGGGCAGAGTCCGAGGACGGCCTGGACCAGGCTGGGACTGGGACAGAGGCAGGGCCAGTGACCCCCAGGTCTCGGCACCGCCACTCGGACTGTCAGTGCTGGTTCCAGCACCACCGAGAGCTCTGTCACCTGCACCCACTCTTCCCAATACCATTCAGTAGCAGTGACCATCGACAACACTGCCACCAGCGCGCGCCCTGACCTGCACTCCCAGCACTTGGTCCTCACACTGTCACCGTCATGCCCCCTTTATTATTCCCGTCACCAACAATCACCAGTGTCAGCAGTAGCCGTCATCGACAGCCACCAACAGCAGTGCTCATGGTTACTGCCGTTGTCCCCACCAACAGCACCCTCACCTGCTCTGTCCAGTGATTCCTTCTCAATCCCCTACATTGGCACCTACTCACCATCATGATCGCCCACGGCGGCACCAACAACCCCACCTACGCAGTCACCACTACCATCGTCATCACCACCTGCGAAGGTACCCCGGCCACCGCCACACGCGAGCCTCGGCCCCGCCACACCCCACACCACGGCCCCGACCCCCGCATGCTGCCTGCTGCCCCGCCATGCCCCCAGGCGGTGGGATGTGGGCCGGTAGGTGACTGCGTACCCTCACTCTTGGGTGGTGAGTAGCTGCCCTTTTGCTGGTCCTGGTTTCTGAAGGTGAAGGTGATATTCTCATAGTCAGGGTCATCTACACCTGTGAGTGGGTCAGTAGGGAGGGTTCGTAAAACTGCTTGAGCTCTGGGGTGGGGGTGGGCGGTAGGGGTGAGCATGGGACGGGGCTTAGAAATCTTGGTTCACTGGACCCTTCCACTCAACACATTTCTGGGGACAAAAGGTAATGAGTGGGACCTAAGATCTGCTCCTTAGTTAGGAGAAGAGGGTGTGTGAGTGTCTGTGGGATACACATGCACACACGCCTTTTGGGGTGGGAAAAAAGCCCTCTGGCCCCCCCTCAGCCCCTTCCCTCTCCCATCCTAACCCTTCCCTCTTGACCCCCGCGCCCTGTGCCAAGGTGCCTAACCTTTCATATTGGCTGAGGCTCCCCCGGGCTTCTCTTTGGAGGCTGCTTCCTGCCTCCTGGCCCCCGGGTTCATGTGGAGTTCCTCAGCGGCCATGGTCCCCAGTCTGCCTGTCTGTCCACACACATCCTCACCCCCGGAAGGAGTCACTGCAGATGAGGAAACCTCTGGGTTGGGCTGTGTGAAGAAAGACAGGTCAGCCTCCTCTTTTCAGGGATCCAGAACCCTCTCACCCTGGAGCATCCTCACACCGCCAGTCGGGAGAGGTCTTAGGAGACCCGGAGTCTCAGGGAGGACCAAGAAGAGAAGCCCATAGACCCAGAGACAGAACAGAATGATCAGGAGCCTGTGAAAGAGGTGTTAGCTAATGCTACAGCATCACTTTGAAGTATATAAATGTAGCAAATTAACACGTACACCTTAAGTTTATAGGTTATATGTCAATTATATTCAATAAAAATCATTTGTTTTAGTGATCAGGAACTTTACAGGAAGCCATGTGCATGTGTTCAGTGTGTGCGTGTGTGTCTTCGTGGCTGAACCTCATCTTCCTGTCTTTCGGGAGAGACGCTGTGGCCCCTCAGAGCCCCGTGTCTCGGGGTGGGGCCGCCAGCCTCGGGCAGGGTTCCCGGTCCGCGCACCTCCCTTCCGCCCCCCTGCCGCAGTCCCACCCTCCACTCCGCTCCACCAAACTCCACTCCTTCCAGGCCCCGCGGAGGGAAGGGACGGTGTAAGTTAGCGGTGCTACCGCTGAACTCCACGCCCACATCTGGAAGGGAGGCCCGACCTGCGCCTCGACGTTCCCCGGAACCGCTGTCTCCTCAGCCTGGAGACCCCGCTGAAGAAACACTCAGAAGCGGACTCATTCTTATTCGCACACCTGCTCACCTGCCCAGACTCACAACACACACTTGCACACACACAGACTCCCGGACACCCTCAGTCACACGTCTCATGCATGCACATAGCACACCCATTCACATGCTCCCACGCATGCCGGCCCAGAGAAACGTACATGTCCGTGCATCGCCACGCCCGCGCCCTGTCTGGGTGTCTGAAAGCCCTCTTTGTGTCTCTCTGACCTTGAAAACTGGGGATAAAAATGAGACAATGCACATAGGGAATTTTCTCTGTAAGTCTAGTGCCTCCCAAGAGAAATATAATATGAACTACATGTTTAATTTAAAATTTTCTAACAGCCACATTAAAAAGATAAAAAAGAGACAGACTAAATTGACTTTAGTAACATTTCATTAAATATAATATACCCAAAATATTATCACTTCAACATGTAGGTTATATTTTTAAGTTATTGATATATTTTACTTTGGGGGAGGTACTAAGCCTTCAAAATGAATCGTGTATTTACGCTTCAGGTACATTTCACTTGAGAAGGACGACATTTTAAGTGCTCCGTGGCTGCTGTGTTGGACAGCCCTGGTCTCCAGTGTTGGAGTTTTCCTTCTTTGGAAAAATAAGTAAGACTTTCTGACAATGTGCAGGAAGTGTTATGTGCTAGGTTTAAAATCTGTGATTAAATTCAAGATGGCTTTGGGGTCCTGCCCCACCATCTGCTGAGGACAACGTTCTTTCCTGAACTACTGCCGACCTCGTCCGCTGCAGGGAGGCGGCCTCGCGGCGGGTCGGCGCCGGCTCCCGCTTCGGGGGGGCAGAGACAGCAGCCGGCACCGGAGCAGCTCGCCCCCGGCCCGCGAGCGCCACGGAGGAGCCGGGGCGGGAGACGCAGGGCTGGCCGCGCTCCGGGGCGCGGGTGCAGGGGGCGGGACCACAGGCTCGCGCGTTTCCCGGGCTCGGGTGCGGCGAAGGCCAGGCTCCAGTCCTCTGGAGGCTGAGAAAAAGGCACGGGTGACTGCGGAGATCCACACGCCACCACGGCAGGGACCTGGGAGGGCTCCTAACCAGCCCCTTCCAAGGAATAACAGTTTTCTTTCTTTCTTTTAAGAAAGAAAACGTGTCTTAATCAGGGATTGGCTTGAGGTGGACACATGACCCAGCCCCAACCAATCAAAGCCTAAGATTTGGCACAGGGTGGGGCAAGTGAGTTCCAACCGGCGAAACTTAGGCTTGTGGATTTTGTTGGGTTAACCAAGAAAACAAAGGTGTTCTCTCTTTCCCCCCCTCCATTCGGGCTGCCCCACGGGGAGAATGTGAGCCTGCAGCTGGGACAGGAGAAGCTGCTGGAGAGTGAAGCCCACCGAGGAGAGCAGATCGCAGAGGGAGCTGAGTCCTGGAGACGCCATTTGAGACCCCTGGTTCAGCCATACCTGGATTTGCTCTTCTAGCCCTGGGCCCCTCCAGTGACATAATGCATCACATGGATTATGTCCAGTGACATAATCCAGAAACTTCCTTTTACTTTCACTCAAAATAGCTTGAAGTAGGGTCTGTGGAACTTACGACTGGGAGAATCTTGGCTACCACAGGGGGCTGAGCAGTTGGTGAGTGCGGAAATAGAGGCTCAAGGATGGGGCTTGCCTGCCAAGGTCAAATATGCAGTGAGATGTGACCTGCAAGTCTGCCCTGTGGGGCAGGAGGGTGGCTGTGTTGGAGCTGAGGGCTCTGAGGGGACTCTTCTTGGGAACTAGTTACAGGGGAGCAATTGGGTGGGACTTGGAGACAGAGGGATACACATCAGGTCCTTGGTACAAGGCAGTGTCCCCACCTGCAAATCAGTGAAGGAGAGGGCACCAGGGCTGTCTCCTCTGGTTCTGGACACACTTTAGACGCAAGGATCTCACTCCAGGCCCAGGCCACACTGGAGTTAGGAGGAGGGGCCTGGGAGGGGAGTCCCCGAGGTGGGGTCTGGGTGCACTTTACAGGCACCAAGAGCGTGATCTCAGCTTATGGCCCCGAGGGTCAGACGGGGCGCTGCGCCCCTCGGGGGCTGGTGGCAGCGGAAGGGGAGCCCAGGCCTCCTGAAAACCAGGACCCCACCCCGTTGCCCCTGCTCCAGCCCCTGAAGCATGCTGCTGGGGGCCATCACTTTTGAGTCTGGAGTCCCTTCCAAGACTGGGCAGCAAGGGTTCTGAAGTCTGCCTCCATCGGGGGCTGGATGTTCACACCCCGCAGCCGAGTGCTCCTAAGAGCCGGCCCTGGATCACCTGGCTGTGCGCTCCCAGGGATGCTGAGGTTCGCCCTTTAGGACCCTGGCTCCAGACCAGGGCAAGTGTCACCTGGCTGTGGGGAGGACTTGATGTTGGGACCACGGGAGTCTGTCTGGGTGTGTGTGTCTATGTGTCCCTATGTCCCCCACCGCAGGCATGCCTGTGGGCTTCGGGGTTCCTTCCTGTGATCGTGTGTCTGTGGGCACAGCGTCTCCGCTTGACAGTGGCAACCGGGCTGTGTGCGCGTGGCCATGTGTACGAGGGGCCCGTAGAGGCCGGAATTTATTTATAAAAAGGTGTATGTTTATTCCTGTGTGTTTAAGCTTCAGTCACCTTCACAGTGCTCTCCATGTGATGCAATAGACTTACCGAGACATTTTTCCACTGCTCAGAACAGTTTTTGAACTCACTGATTTTGATGCATTTTAGTGCTTCTGCCATATTTTGTTTGTTTGTTGGTTGGTTGGTTGGTTTCACCTCTTCCACGTTGGGAAATCTTCTCCCTTTGGGGACTTTTTTAATCCAGGGAAACACACACACACAAAAAGTGGCTCGGGGTGAGATCGAATGACTAGGGAGGGTGGGTCATGGGGGTCCTGCTGTCTTTGGTCAAAAACCGCTAAACACCCAGTGCTGTGTGGGCAGGCGCACTGGTAAATCCCCTGTCATGAAATGGGCTATGGCGTTGAAAGAATCTTCAAAAAAAAAAAAATTTGCTGACGCCAAACACAGCCTCTCACAATGACACCAGCTGGCACACAGATACAGATGGGTTCCTAGAACACTCACCTAGTGGGGGAAGCCTGTACCACAAGGAGCTCACCCTCCAGAAGATAATTCTGGGTTTTCAGGGGGAGGGGCACCCCCTTGCAATATGTAGTGTGTATGGACGGTGTATTCACGTGTGTATGTGGCTATTTACTCAACAGACATTTCTTGAGTGCCTACTATGTGCCATGGCCTCCTTTAAGCATCAGGAACCCACCAAAGAGCAAGTGCGCCCTCTGCCCCGTGTCTTCACATGTGAGCGTTCGTGAGGGCACAGGAGCCCCTGTGGGCCACAAGCCCTGAGGAGACTCTTTTCCATCCATGACTCTGGCTTCGCCTGCGCCCTGGGGTCCCTTCAACAGAGGCTCTGGGCTCTGGGTTGAGAGATGATCCAGGGGTCCACACCGACCCTGGAGCCGCCGCAGCCCTGGAGTGTCTGTGCGGTGGAGGAGGGGCCCTGTCTCCCCCAGGCCGGGAGGAAGCCTCACTGTGGGGTGTGAGGGAGGATGACCCAGCCACTTCTGGGAAGCCCATGGCTGAGGGTGACTGTCAAGGTGGCCTCAAAGGTAACACTCACTTCCACTCCTGGACGACCCTGAGCCTAGGAACCTGAGGCCCCATTCTCGGAGCTAACGGTGGGGTCCAACATGGGAGGATGAGGATGGGGCAGAGGAAAGCATCAACCGCGATCCCCCGACCCCACCCTGGCCCACGCCTCCCTCCAGAGTCTAAGCCCCGTCTCTTTGGGAAACAGGTTCAGTTGCTGCGCACCGCGCGGGGTGCTGCGCAGAGCCCAAGCCCTCCTCTCCTTCTCCTCAGGGTTTGTTTCCAGCGCACCCCTGTCCGGTCCATGCCCGCGCCATGGCAGTGGCAGGTGGTCTCGACACATCTGTCCACGAGCCACACGTGGAGTCACACGGGCAGCCGGTGACGGTGAAGCCTGCAGCCCCTGGCGGAAGGAGCTCGGGCCCTGTGCCCGAGGCTCCGAGGGGTGGAGGTCTAGGAGGCCGGAGGGTCCCGCACCAGGGAGCGGGAGCCAGATGCGTGGTCTGCGGGGAGGCTGGAGGCTGGGGGCCTAGATGCCAGTGTCCAAGGGCAATGGAGGCCATTGGGGCAGGGAGAAGGCTGGGGATGCGGACCAGGACCCTGGGGGGTAGAGACAGAGACTCCACAGTCTTAGAGAAACAGAGGTGGGATGTGGGG